ACAGCCAGTAATGCGGAATTCCATTATAGTGCCGACTCCCGTTAAAAGTGACAATTTTTCCATATGCCGTCTAAAACTGAAATTTAACCAACTGCAGCCATTTTTAACGTTTTCGGAATTTTTCGCCTTTCCAAAAATATTACATTTCTAAACAACGTCACACCACCTTTAATATTTCTTCTACGTTTTTGATTCCCTTTAAGTTTTTCTGGATTAAGTTGTGCCGGTTTGCGAGTGATTAACAATCCCTCGTAAACATTGACACCTTTCATTGGTTAGCTCACCTGCTGTAAAGGCGACTCAAAAGCCAGCAGTAGTTATTCTCCAGACGTAAAGAATGCGAATATACTGGGGATGCGCAAAGGAGACTGGCGGACAGGTCAGTTTAGCATCCAATACACGCTCTAGACGCTTTCCCAGTCGCAACTCTTCGCAGGTCGTAACACTGGCCTTGCCATCGCCTCGAGCAATTGCTCTTGCAATCGACGCACGTTTTCCAACCTGAATGTCTACTGGCCCATCGCTTCTTTGACTGCTCGGCGATCGACTCATGCACTTCTCTCTGTGCCTGGCAAGGTGACGTACTTGGCCGCGGTCATTGCACCGCCCACCCCTTCCCCTAGCGGCTCAAGCGATTCCGGTTGCAGCAAAGCCACTTCAGCCCACTTTCAGAGGCGCTGACTTGAACACTCAACTGACTTCAGCTCGGACTTGCATGCTCTCAAGTAGTGACATTGCACCATACGACAGTTCGGCCTTCCAAAGCCGTGCTGTCCACCGCTGCCCCACGTGGTGAATCCAGCAGCTGTAATTTGCGCGTGAATTAATTTATAGTGAATGGGACTTACACCGCATCCACCTCGCTTCCCCCTCCCTCCCATGCCATCCATCGCGGCGCGATAACCCGACGGGAGGTGGGCATGAGCGCGGTGGTTGACAGAGCTAAGCAGCCCGCTACGCGCGTCGTACATGGCTTGGCTCCAGCTGGATAGGTACCAGGCTACAATAAGGTCTCCGGTCTCATATTTAAAAAAAATGCTATTTGACCACGCCAAGAAGAAGAAGAAGAAGAAGCGATTGCAGCCTGATTCTCAGCCCTCAGAACGCGCCCTACCAGATTCAAGCGCGTCGGAACAATTGCAGCGAGCCATGCGCTGCTGCGCGATGAGGAGGAATTACTCGGTGTTAGCCTCGATCTGTCTTCCGTCCTTTATGCCCCAATTGGGTTTTTGACAGCGTCAAATAGCTTGCCATGGGGTTGGACGCAATGGCCGATGCAGTGTGATAACCCACACCTCCAAAGCGTGACACACGCGTGTACAGCAGTAGACAGGGCCATGTGCGGGCTCGACGCAGCCCGAAAAATGCGTGCCACG